TCTACTGTAATTGCATCACAATTTCAAACCAGTTTTATGGAATAATTTCTTAGTCTCATCATATATCTAAATTGATTCCGAGTTATGATTCAAAAAAAGAAAAAAAAAACAATACATATCAGGCTGAGTGCATCTATACTACATTGAGATCAAAACTCGATCATTATAGACCTAGAGGAAAATAAGGAGTGGAGGATAATGATCAAAGCCTTCTCATTACTAGTTAGGTAAATTGCACTGAAATACACATCGATTTGGAATAAAATAACATGATGATTTATGACCAACCAATAAATGATAAAAGAACCTTAGGCATGGATTTTTCTGTTACTATGTCAAGCTTGAAAAAATATTGGGTGAAATTTATACACGACATCAGCAGAATCACATGGTGTAATCGTCTATTAAAAAATAAACAAATCAACAAATGAGTCCCATAAAAATTCATAACTACTCAGCTAGCCATGTAATGTATAACCATCTACATGATAAAAAGTGGACTCCATTTTATAGTTTTTTTATTGGATGGTTATACCACATCTGCATTGTTGACATGATGCAACCGTTAGATCTAATATTTATTCGTCAAGCTTAGACATGTCACTGTAGTTTACCCTTGTTATTGGATGATTTAGCGTATATGTAATTCTTAGTCAAATCTTTACTTAAACTTAAATTTAACGAAAAACAGATTAAAAATAACCTCCAATCCTTTAATTAAATTTATACAAAAATGAAGGAGATCTCAAAGTTTTACTCGAGTCAAAGGAGACTCAAATCTTTAGTGATCATATTTCGCACTATTTTAAATTTGAGTTTGTCATCTTTTAAATTCGAGTTTGTTCTACTTTTAAATTGAGTTTATCTATTGGAGTGTTTTGTATCAAATAAAACTTTTTATTCAAATGGTGACACAAATTTGAATAAAAATTTAGGTCAAGATTATAGATGGGCTTACCATACCTTTCTAGAGTGGCTCCAAGATCTAAATGACTTAATTGGATTTTATGGATTTGGGAGAAAATAGAAGAGTAAAGGCCCTTTTGACATTGTGCCTTTGTTGCTATTATTTGAATTTTATAGATGAAAAAAAACGTAAGAATCTTTGACGATAAATGGGAGACAATCGATTGTTTGTGAGATCAGTTTTATTTCTTTACTTCTTTTTGGACATTTGTGACTAAGAATTTTGACAAGAGTCTTCAATTTTTAATTTTGGTCATCAGCATCACTTCAAAAGTTGGACGGTTTCATTGGTGAGAGGATGGAATTTAGAGTCAGTCAAAAAAAAAAATTAATTTTTCACAAAACATTGAATAAAAAAATAAAATATCATAATTTTTATCCATCGAATCGGGTGAACACCCTTAGAGCTGACCGATCGCCCTAAATACGAAAGAGAAAAGCTGATAGTGACCACAAAAGGTCACTCTTATATATTTAAGTACTAAGCCCAGTTTCCACTTTGGATTCCTCCGACGGTACAAGTTCAATGCCCTGACTAAATTCCATACGCGATGTCGTGGGTATATCAGCACCAGGGGGTAAACTTCTACCATTCAACAAAGATTGTGCAGGAAGAAACCTCCCCAGGCTCCAAATTCATGCATGGTTCATGTCATCATCCTTGATGAAAGATGGCAGAAAGTTGACTCGGAAAAAAAGGAAGTTTATTTAATACCTCTTCAATAAAGGCCAAAGATTATTCTTTTAAGTATAATATACGGTGCGTTAGAACTTTCTTTAATTTATTTTGTTAGGGGGTATGTTTATTTAATATCTGATCAATCAAACCCAAAGATTTAATTTTTATGACTACAATATAAGACACGTTCGTTCGAACTTTAGTTTATTTCCAGGTTAGCATTTTACTATTTTAGTTAGAACTTTAGTTTATTTCCTGGTTAGTATTTTACTGTTTTAGTTTTCAACAAGAAAGGACATATAGGCTTTATGTGATCAATCTGAATCTATTTTATTGATTTCAACGAGCTCATATTCGACTAAAAATAGAATTTCTTTTTTGAAATGGATTGATGGATGAATCTATTATTATTTTGGTATATTACTTGTTTTGTTATTAAATTGAGCTACGAAAATTTCTATTCAAATTAAAGATAATTTTGCTAAAATTATGTTATTTAGTTTGTGTTTTTCCTCCTCTTGAAATACCTCAAGATTCATCCTTCAACTCATTTCTCAAAATATTTCAAGTGGCCAAGTTGCTCACATGGTTTGACTTTCTTTGTTATTTTACTTAGTTTGATATGTTATTAAAAATATATATTTAGAATTAAATATTATTATAGGAAATTTATAGTTACTAAGTATCTGTTGTTATATGCAAACTATTAATATAAAACAAAATATTTATGTCATCACCCTAGGTGAAAAATGGCAGAAAGTTGACTTGAAAAAAGATGAAGTTTATTTAATACCCCTCCCTCATCAATAAAGGCCAAAGATTAATTTTTTAAGTATAATATACAATTTAGTTTATGTCTTGGTTAGTATTTTATTATTTTAATTTCAATAAGAAATGACATGTAGGCTTTAAATGGTCGATCAATCTGAATCTAATGAATTGATTTCAACGAGCTCATATGGAGTGGATGGAATAATCAAAGCCCTAGTTTGCGGTTAAATTCTTTTTATAGATTCATCTCTAATTCTTCGATCCCTCGCGGTTGACTTTTTATTAAAAACTTTGGGAATCTCATATAGATTATGACCTGAATCAGATCAATTCTTTTTTGAATCTCTATACGGGCAATTCTTTCGACGCCAGAGGATATTTTGCTATTTTTTTGTACATAATTCTTGATACAATCTCTTATTTTTTGATCTTCTTGTAGACCTTCGGAATAATTTTTTGGTGGTACAAACCAAAGGGAATGAAGACCTTGGGTTGTTCCAAATCTGAAACCAAGTGAATTTATTTTTTGTCCCATACTCCCCCATTACTATACATATTACTCCTTAGATAAATGGCAGTGCAATATTCCTTATGTTGGGATAAAATAACAAGATGACTTATGAACAACCAATAAATGATATAGGAACCTTTTATCGGAGGTTTTTAAGAGTAAATCATTTATGAAAGGACCAATTTACCCTTGTTTAATTGTTTTTTTTCGTTTTGCTTCCCCACGTAGTTGGAAAAAATAAAAAAAAAAATTCAATAAAAGGCTATATTTTGTGGACGTTGGCACGAAAGAGGTGTCTTTTATTACTATAGAACACACAAAATATAGGGGTCTTCATATTATTCTACATACGTCAGTGGATTTTTGTGTAATTTTGTCAAACCTCAAAGATGTCATCGTAATTTATCCTGACTATTTTTTTTTTATGAATTTTATTTCTTTCTACTTCAATATCTTTTCCAAAGGCTTAACCGAAGAACCATTCAATCGTTTTGGGAGCATTAGGATGATCAATTTTAGGATATCTTTGACCATTTTTGTCCTTTACGTAGCCTACTTCCCTCCTCTAAGAAGCAGTATATCCCTTAACCAGCCATTCTAGAACAATTATTCTAGCTCTTGCTTCCAACGTTAATTGTGTATATAATAGCATACATAAACAGGCCCAAAAAAATGTTAAGACCTTGATATAAACATATATATAAGTCACTTCAACAAAGTACTAATCAGACATGTTCAATTTTCTTTCTTTGATGAAATTTATGTTTTTGAAGATTGTTTGAAAATGGTACAACAATGCAAAGGTTTTATTTCAATCCCATTTTAAAAAAGCGTAATTTAATGCATGAGACTCTCGTCTACGTGCGGATTCAAACACGACAAGTGTATGGAAACAGAATCGTACTTGAGGGTGCGATAAGATTATCATTTAAGATGGTACGTAATTCCTATTTTTTCATTAAACTACCAATTAAAACAATTAAGATAATCATATTCAATGTTGGAAGCAATGAACCTATTTGAATTGACTGCCAAAAATTGAGACGTATTCTAATCAAGTTTCTCTATCCACATGTGCCCACAGTTATAATAACATGAACGTCACATGTCTTGAGTCTGTATTCAGAAGGTGTTTCGGGGAAGAAGTGGGGTTTCTATTACCATTCAAGTGAATGGTCTTCTCTTGTTGCTCGTCCACAAGACCTTTCAAACATTAGACTTTTAAAGACTTAATGATAGGATTAAATTTTTGTTTTCTTTCCTCTTATTTTATTTACTCTGAACTCTTCTAATTCGGAATAAATATCAAGGGAACACCGTAGCGTTATTTGTAAAAAAATGAGTCAATACATGCAACTAACCGACTTAAATATGTAACAAATTAATGAGCTAATGCTTGCAATTTGAAGACACAAAGTAAAACATTGAAACCAATTTGAAGTTCATGTGACATTTTTTCTTTAGAATTACTAACGGATTCAAACAGAGAAAATAAATTGAAGCAATCGTTAGATGCTAAAGAGTTGATTGTTACAGTTGATATGTTCAATGGATGGACATATTATACTGTGACCCCCTAAACTATGTGTCCTATCTCCTATTACCTTATCAACCATCACGTTTCTCACATTTCACTTTGAATTATAGTCATTATTACTTTTAATTTGCCCCATCAGTTACCATATTTCTCATATAATACTTTCGACTATGATTATTCACTCCACGACTCCACATTATCCTAACTATAGAAATTAAAAATGCATATTTTGATATATTTTTGGTCTTTTTTCATCCAAAACACATCGAATGTTTAGTTTGGAGTAATGTAAAATCAAATCAAATAATTGAGGGGATAATGTGAGAAATTCAATAGTTGAGTGGGCAAAGTGAGATGAGGGCATAATTAAGGGGGTCAAGATATAATTTTTCTTAATGATATATCCAATAAAAAAATAAAAAAAAATAGATAAAATGAGGTTCACTCCATATGCAGGAGGTTAGTATACCGGTTACACCCGATATTTGTTCGTTGAGATGATAGTCAACAATTTTTTTTCACTATAAAAAAGGTGTGCTAAGTAGTTCAAAACAAAGTCCTCAAAGCCATTAAGAGATAGAAGGAGAGGAGAGTCAGCAAAAGGGCAATCATGGGTGGTGAGAGGAGCAAGATTCTGGTGTTTGGAGCCTCTGGTTATCTTGGCACATACATGGTCAAGGCCAGTGCTTCCATGGGCCACCCAACTTACGCCTACGTCCGCCCTGTCAAACCCGGCTCCGATAATTCAAAGCTGGCCTTGCTCAAGGAATTTGAATCAATGGGGGTCACCATTTTCCAGGTATTTCTCTCTCTCTCTGTCTTTGAGTTCTGCAAAAACTGTATGGTACTAATTTGTGTTATTTCCATATCGGACAGGGAGAATTGGATGATCATGAGATGCTTGTTTCAGTGCTTAAACAAGTAGATGTTGTGATATCTACGCTGGCTGTTCCTCAATACCTTGAACAACTCCACATAATAAGTGCCATGAAAGAGGCTGGCAATATCAAGGTTAGTTACTATCCATTGTCAAACATAATTTGAACGGGTTTATAACAAATGATGAGACCCCTCAATTATAAGTTCAAAATTCGTTTGGCCATATAAAACTCGAGTTATGGTTGATTGTCTGTATTCAAGTTCTGCGTTGCAAAAATGAGTTTAACCCCGTCTTTTATTCGAAGTGATCAAATAAAAGACCAAGTGTAAACTCAGATTTCGAGTCCCCTTAGACCTTATAAAACCTGGGTTTAACCCCACTGAATATGGGCATCCGCATCATCCAATGTTTTATGTTGCAGCCATGACTCTAAAACATGTATGGTTAAAATCGATTCTCTAAGGAGGAAAAAACAGTTTGAAATGTTTTCATGAATCTAACATAAGTTTTATGTCAGAGATTTGTGCCGTCGGAATTTGGGAACGAAGTGGATCGGGTTCGGGGCTTACCACCTTTCCAAGCTCTTTTGGACAGGAAGAAGAAAGTGAGAAGGGAGACAGAAGCAGCAGGGATACCCTTCACTTATGTGTCTGCAAACTCACTTGCTGCCTATTTCGTGGACTTTTTGCTTCACCCACACGACAAGGTTGATGAGGTTACTCTATATGGAAGTGGTGAAGCCAAAGGTATGTTCTTCTTTTGCATCTTCTCTGCATATTGGGATACCCTTTGGCCTATTGCTCAATTACCCTTTGGCCTATTTTCTTTTAGTTGAATGATTCATGTATCTCGTGCTCATCGGACAATCGACAAGTCTAATATCAAAAGTTGTAACAAAATAAAAGTAAAACTAGTACGGCTAGGACATTTTGTTACGATCAATGTCCTTGAATAAATCAATGAGATTTGGTAAAACCAAACAAAAACTCATTGCTCTTTCGAAAACGATATAAATACCTAACTTAACGTGCTTTGAATGTTGTACTAGAGACATCTTGAAAGTGGCTATTGACAGAAATTATGTCTTAACTTTCCTATATTTCTGATTTTTTTTTTAAAATTTTTACTCAATAAAAAACGTACGAAATAGTTTTTTTTTTAAAGAACTCAAACAAGCAATCTCTGTTTTAATTTTACAGGTAATTCAATGATACCGATTTTTTTTTTGATATAGTATTGAAAAATTATTATTATTTTAGGTCAAGTTATACATTTTAAAAGTGAAGTTACAACTGCTTAAGGTAACTTCATGACCAATTATGAATATCCATAATTGGTAAAATTTTAGCTTTAAAATATATAATTTGACCTCAAAAATACTAACTTTGATTGCTTTTTCAATTATAACTTCTTCCAAAAAAAAAAAAAGTGTAACTTGATTAGATTACAGTTGCATGCCCTTTAGAATATTCTAAATAGAGGGTCCACAATTGCAATTCCATAAAATTATTTTTAGTATTGTATCTCTACTTTTCATCTAATAATATTTTAATACACATAAAATTATTCTTATTTTATTATTTTAAAAATTAATACCTACGAATCAATCAACCCAAAAATACAGTGCTCTCATTCAACTTCGATATGATACCACTCCTTCCCTGTCTCTTAAGTGCAAGGAACTTTGTCTGGCAGCGGTGCTGAATTACGAGAAGGACGTAGCAGTCTACACTGTGAAAGCTGCTACGGATGCAAGGGTAGCCAACCGGGTCATTATCTATAGGCCCCAGAAAAACATTGTCACCCAATTGGAGTTGGTTTCTTCCTGGGAGAAAAAGACTGGTCGTACTCTCAAGAGGACTCACATTCCTGAGGAAGAAATCATCAAGCTCACAGAGAGTAAGAAATTCTCACCTCTTTCCATCTTTTATTTTTTAAAATACATTAAATCACTTTTTTTTTAGTTAAACAGATTAAAACAAATTATATTTCGACTCCTAGAGTTATACCTTTCTTTTTTTTTATTCGATACACTGAATTATATCTTTTGTTCTATACAATGCATGATGTTTCATGTCACATATTGTCATAAAATAGTTTTCTGTCACTAACGTGCACCACGGTGAACCACACTTGGAATCAGTCAATTTATCTTCGAGACAATGCATGTTACGTGTCCAGAGTTTGAACAGAGGATGCCTGTTTCGTGTCACAGCTTGTATCCGATTGGTCCAATGTTTGAACAGAGGTGAAGTAGAGGTGGGGTTCCTTGGCAGTCTATCAATTAAAACCTAACTCTAAGACCCAATTAGAAATGACAAGAAATGAGTAATAGTATTATGATACCGCTCTGCTGGCATACCGAAAATGCTTACTAATCGCAGTTTTTGTTTTAATAATTTTTAACTGTTTGACCATAAAAAATAAAATGAAATATAAAATATATATGAAAAAATTGTTAATAATTTTCTTTCATTAATGAAAACTTAATATGCACGATGCCGAACTTTTCGGTACTATAGATGAACCCAATCCTCAGAACCTTTTGAACACGTTTTCAGCCAAATGTTGCACTTTTAGAACATCCTTTCAATCTCATTTGTGCTTCTCATTGTCTACTTCCTCTTCTCCTTCTCTTTGAATACCTTAAATCATTCAGTAACATTTTAATATTTTTTTTTTATTTCTGGAAGACGATTATCATATATTTAGACCATTGTCTGTGTTCTTGCACAGAAAACACCTCCAAAATTAGAAAAAGCATCACACTTCCTATCCATAAATTTGGATTATTTGTGTCGTAACATTCTTAGGTTAGTCTCAAAAACTAATACAAACTCATATTGGATTTATGTTGTGTCAAAATTGTCTCCTTTACTAACACATAAGCATAAAACTTGTCAAATTTTTGGTGAACATGTTTCTTTTGTTTTGAACTGGGTGAACATGTTTCTTGAAAACAACCTTAGCCTAAACAATTGGAATAGCGTTTTGTTGAATTTTTTTTTTTGGGTCCATTCGAGAATGACATTAATTCCATAATTATTAAGTTTGGTAAGAAAAAAAAAACATAAATTTAGAGGCTAGACACTCAAATAGTGAGGGATAGCACTACGGTACCCTTGTCAGTAACCATAATTTATCTTAATTTGTTTGTAGCCGTTAGTCTTAAACAAATAAAGTAATAAGATATAAATATTTTTTACACATCTCTTGTTTTCATTGATGAAAAATAAGAGGTGCGAACTTTCAGATATTGTAGTTTGACCCAATACTGAGAACTAATGCTTGCTTTCACTTGCAGCCTTGCCATTCCCAGACAACGTACCCGCGGCAATTCTTCACAATATATTCATAGAAGGTTGTCAATTGAGCTTTGATCTGAGAGAGGATGACTTAGAGGCCTCAAACCTTTATCCTGATTACAAATACACTTCAGTTGATGACCTCCTCAACATCTGTTTGGTCAATCCTCCCAAAACTAAACTCTCTACATTTGGCTGACCATCTCTTATGTTCTTTTAAGTTTCTATCACTCAATGCCTAGCTTGTTTCCTTTAAGCATGAAAAATAATGTCTTGTTATAAGATCATAATGTTTTCGTCCGATGACACTTTATGGTGAAAGGTTCTAAATTTTTATTTTTTTCTCCTGGAAAGCCGAGTAAATATTGAATACAACGGTGATACTATGTCATCATTGATGACATGGTATCACTTACCAATAATAAAACCCTAAATGGGAAATGTGAACCTCACTTGGGCTTACATGGCAGGAGGATGAGAAGTTATTTGCTTACATGGTTGATTAGTTATTAATTTATGTTGGTGATACCACGTCACCTTGCCACGTGATATCACCGTTGTAATGAATATTTTCTCCTGGAAAGCCTCACATCGTTGCTATTATTTAAAGAAATTCAAGGTGTAATGTGATACGTTTATTTAGAAGTTTTTATATGAGAAAGTGTCATTGATCCTAATGTTTTACTAGCACTGCCATTATGCAAAAGCTTCGATGTGATTATCAAGAACTGCTGATGTAATTTTATACATGTTTATAAGGTATCCATAATTACAAAAAGTTGGGACTTCAGTTTAGTATTTGATTTGGAATCTCATAGTATTGCAGCCTGTATGTGATTTTCTTGTAAAGGGGCTGAATTTGGGTTTGTATAGTCTTACAACTTCATTTCAAAAGCTGTTGGAAATATGGTATTTGGGAATCTACCTTTGGTTTGGACCCTGAAAGATTCTTCAACGTGGTTATAATTTATCTATAGGCTTCAATGAATAACTCTAATCGTGGTCCAAGTAGAAAACCTAGCCCTAGTGGGCAATTGTGTCCACTTTGATATGTTGCACTTAGGCGCCACCACTTTGTTACACTCTGCTCTGCTTCTCTCATTGACCCATTATCTTTTGGGTCTAGGTTAATACGAATCACCCACTATTTCTAACAATTAACAAGTTAATGAAGTGAATTTAATCATTAATGGGTGAGTATAGAATAAAGTGGGCTTAGTCACTAATGGATGATGTAGAAATTGGAGGGTTTAATTAATAATTTTACATCAACTCATTTAATAGGGTGCAAATAGAAATTGAGTAATGTTACACAATACAAATGAAACCCAAAAAATTACAACCTAAATGCATATCATCTCTTAGATGAGTAAGTCCTATCCACTCTTTTTGAGTGAGATCCACTCATCCAAGAGATGATAAGCAATTGAATTGCAATTTTTAAGTTCCACTTGAGTTGTGTAGCATTTTTCGTAGATATTTGTGGGGGTGGAACTCTCTTAGAAATAGGAACCCTATTAAGTCTCATGCTGTCAAATTGGGTGCATTTCATGTCAATAAATATAAAAACTTCCAACCCTCTGGTTTGGATGCCCTATCTTTAAGAGTGGGTACATTACTTGGAGAAGTTCATTAATAATGAGTGAAGGTGACTTATTTTTCTCGCACTAACTTACACAACATTAGGTATGAGACACAAATCTAACTAAACACCTTTAGTAAGCATAAGGCATGGATTCAAAGGTTTCATTGTGAGAAAAAAAATTTAAGAAAGTTAAAGAGAGCCAAGGAGAGGAGTAAACCTAAAAGAGAAATATTATAGAGCCTAATTTGGGGACTTAATTAAGTATTTAATTTAATGTAATCATTGGATTAGTTATGAGTTCTAATGATGAAACTCACTTCTAATCTAATAACTACATGAATTGGATTAGGTCCAACCTGAACTGAGGAAATGAATTGATAAGATTGCAAAGGACAACTTCAAGGCGCACATCTTATTTGGATCTAAAAATTTGACCTAATTTACTGACGAAATGATATGAGTTTCATATGAATCATTAGATCAGCATTAAGTTTCAATGTTTGATGAGACTTACAGTCAATCTAAAAATTACAGTAAATTAAATCAATAAATTATGTCAATAAATTAGGTTTGAATAACATTGCTCCACCATATATACGTGGAGAGAGAGGGAGAGAGAGCTTGTCAAAAGTAACACTTGGACAGGTTTTAACTGGCCCCTAGTTTTCATATCCATGCATGGTTTGATATATATGGAGGGGAAGGGACAAGGACAGTACAGAAAAGAAAGACAACCCTATATAATTGTGGCAAAAATGCTTGGCAAGCCAAGTAGAATATAGTTGATGCCCTTTCCACAATCTGAATTTTCAAAAATGAAATAAGCCAAGTAATTAAATTTATAGGAAATAACCGGAAAAAAAATAATAAACTTATAAGGTGGTCTTTCTCTTGCAAGTGGTTCAAATTTAACACCGATGATTGCTTCAAAGTAGCCCCAACCCAATAAGAGTTCGAGGAATTATAAAAAAATGATCACAGCCATTGAAAAATGGGTATTATGATAGAATCCATTAAACTACAGTACCAAAGCGAAATTATAATCAACTACAAAAGGTTTATTAATTTGGAGTTTGGTAAAAAGAAAGAAATGTCAACAAATTCGTGGTGGAAACAGTTTCCCTGCAAGCTCACAGCCTACTCACCAAACTCCCACCCGAACAAAGCACTATGATCAAAATTTGAAAGCTAGCATAACTGTTCTAGGAGGACAAGGCTCTGGAATCTGTAGTAAAATGAAAAATAAATTTTATTTTTTTTCCAAGTGTAGATCTTACTTTAATATATTTCTGTCTATAATTGTGAAAATAAGTAAAGTGAAAATATAAAATAATTTATCTTTACACAGTATTCATGTTTCCACTAAAAGAAGAAAATGAAGTATGATATCAAAATTATGATTTTTCAGCACCGCAGTCGAACCTTTATAAGAGATCAACTTTTTGTAACAAAGTGTTGTGTTGTTTTGATCATAGTGCTTTAGGACAGGCCACGCGGGTTATTATTCGTCATGAATTTCTTAATTATGTCGTCCATGATTTGTCATTGATTAAATCGAGGAAAAAATTAATTAAGATGCACGTAATCTGACCGTTACACAAAAAAAACCACAGGAGCAACTCCACAATTGATTTATATACGTTTAAAAAGACAGTTTGATTTTATACTTTCCATGTTTTTACATATGCATGGTATGAACAAACTGTCATTGCCACATTAAGCCACGTTAAGCTACATGGTTCTTCGTCTCACCAAAGCTCCCTGCAGAATCTGAAGAAATAGACCCACCTGGGTGGATCTTATTGCTCTTACCACCTTTATCATCCTCAACTTTTCTCTCTCCACCACCATCCTCCACTCCTCTTCCTTTCTCCTCCTCCATTCTCTTCATTTTTTCCTTCTGCCGGTTCTGCTGCACGTAAACATGAGCAAAACTAGCTCCGGTGGACGACATTCTCGGAAAGTTTGACGTGAAAGTAATCGTTGGTCAGATACCGATCGAGGAGTATGATGGCAACGCAGAACCTCAGGAGGTAAATTTATAGGGAAGCATAGTTGCCTTTTTGAGCAAGCCATCACTGGGGTCTGGGTGTAATGGCTGACGTTTTTGGGTATATCTTTTTCATAGATGGTGGTTTGAATGACATATCAGAAGGAAAGGGTATAAAAAAAAAATATGGTTGTCAATGGCCGGGGTCGTGTTGTGTTTGTAAACCATGTAAACTAACATATGTCAAAATTTGTACATCTCATACTCAACTTATTTATAATATTAAGAGCAATGCTAATGAGACATAATTTATGAACATAATTTGGGGATATAAGGAGTTATCACCAATGATATGATAATTAATTTATTTAATACTATAATGAGACCCATCATTAAATATATTTACTATCATTTCATTTGTGACAACTTATTATGTCCCAATAGCATTAGTGTAATATTAAACAGTTGAATTGTTGGGTTTGAATCGTATATACGTCGTGTTCAATCAAATTCGTGCTAGTTGTTGGTCCCTTTATACGTCGGTAGGGCCAGCTCAATAGAATTTGGGTCTTTTAGCAAAAATTTTAAGTGGGAGCTTTTACAAACTTAATATATATATATATATATATATATATATATATATATATATATATATATATATATATATATATAATTTTATGGCTATACCATTTTTTCAACGAAGAAAAAGGGTTTTGCTAATTTATGGCTATGTTATTTTTCAATGCGTTATGAACTTAAAACCATATAAATGAGAGAGATTGAAAAAGTGTGTGAGAGAGATGTAGGCAGGATTTATTTATATAAATATATTTATAAATGCCCTAATTACAGAGAATGATTAGATTGAAAACAAATGAACAGAGAAGATGTGATCTTTTAGGTGAGCGATGTCAGATGTGATGGTTGAGTTGGTGGGAGAGTGTAATTTAGGGCCCTGAGCAAGCATTTTAGTTGCTTATAGTGTCAGCCGGCCCTGTACGTCGAGTATCCACTGTTTTACCACCCAACCAGTTAAGACTAAATCCAAACATACAAATTTTATGTTAATTTTAGGTGAAATTCACAAATATAAAAGTCTTGTGTTATCTTTTCTAGTGGTTAGGGCTGATAATTGAGCTGAGCTCTGTGAGTTCGAACTGAACCTGCGAGCTCTTTTTTTAAATAAACCTAAAAAATTGTTCAAATTTGACTCAATTAAAACGAACCGAGTCCAAGTAACTCAACTATTTTACATATAAATGAACCAATCTTTGTGAATTCAAGTTGAATTTTTTATGCTCATTTTCTAAATAAATTTAAAAAAATTGTTCAAACTTAACTCTCTTATCTAAGTCAAATCCGAGTAACTTGACTTAATTATCACTGACTCTCTTGTGGAGTAGACATCACTACCAAAAAGAATAGGCCATATAACATTTGATTATGGGAATGCATAGTGCATACATAGGTGGACATTAATGGGGTTACCTGTCAACCTTGAAGAGGGTTTAAAGCCGATTGGTTAATCATATCCATACAAGAGTGCTCGCAAACTGGACTCGAGTGGACCAACAGTCAGCTGAAGCTTTTTTTTCATATTTTTTTTTCTTTTGGAAGTCATAATTAAGAGTCTAACCCTTGTTATCAAGTATTTTGATATGTACAGCTTAGCTTGAATTGACAATCGAAGCTCAATAGTAATAAACATCAAGGTCGATTCTATTAAACGGAGCAGAAAATTGTTTCGGCTTGACTTGAATACCAAACTAGCTTAAAAAAAATTACATTTGAGAAAACGAGCTTATAAGAGGTAAAACCGATATTGGGCCGTGACAACATTGATGACGTTTTTTTTGGTGTGGTGAATTTTTATTTAGCAATAAGCATCTCATGATTTTCACATTTTTTGTGTTTAGGAGAATAAGTATCAAAGCATCTAATCTTATCTACTTCAAAAGTCATACGTATATATTCTTGGTAATCTATTTTTTCTTTCCTAAATGATGCTCACATGGTTGTCTCCTTTGTTTTCTGTTTTTTTTTTTTTAAAACTCCATGACATTAAGGACATGTGAGATATATGATTAACAATTTTAGTTAAATATTTTTATTATTACTTAAATTTGTAATTCCCTGTCTATTTAAATGATTGTGATAGACCTATTGATGATTCTCTTTTGTCTTTTTCTTCATCTTGTAATTCGAATATATAAGTAGTTGCTCCATTACGTGCTTGGCATCATGAAATTCGAGTTGAAATATATGGTATATTAGAGTCAAATCATGCCCAATTTATGTTCCTCCATTTTCCTTCTTGTAAATCACACGGGAATCTAGATCCTCTACATTTGACCTCTCAATACTAATATTTAATATCATATTAACAGTAATAATGATGGATTTAAGTTTGAGCCTTTTTTAAAGTCTAAAATCTCTTTGGGCTCACGCGAGATGACTCAAGCGTCTCATCTAGATAGCATTCATTGAGCCCGAGCTGGACCACAGTTCAGTTCCATAGAAACTCACAATAATCTAGGTCGGAATAGATGTCAACTCAGTACAAATACTTGCTCGGGAGTTGGCAACACTTGGACAGGAGACAAGAGGATAGTACATGATAATCCTAACGACTCACGTATGCTACTCAAGGTGTAGTGAGCGTAGGAAAGTGTCAAAGATGGCAGGCACAACATAACAAACAAGGAGGGGACCATAGAATCAACCCAAAAAAAAATCACATGAAACCCTAACGATGGGATGTATAAATAGTAAACAATGTCATTGTGTAATTAGATATGAAAATGAGATGAAATATACCACTTGACAGTAACCTATGCAATATTCCGAGAAAAGCTTCCAGTCAATTACCTTGTAACAGAGACCTTTTCCCTGAGCAATACAATTCCCAACGAACAAGAGTCTTCTTTACAATAGACGTAACTTTAGTCCTCGGTTGAGCTGAATCACTCATATTATTGTCTTTGTCTCCCCTTCAACGTTTAGCATACTTTCTATCACATAGACACATTCACATTCTCTCCGGACCACATTCTAAATTGTTCGGCAATTGGGTCAGTGGATTTTGAGGACCATCAGACAGAAATCTCGTACAGTAAATTCAATATTATATGAAGGAGTTTTGTTTGATGCAATGATGCGTTTACAGCACTTGAGGCTTATCTCTCTGTCTGAATATTGTTAAAGATACATGACTCGACCATGTCCTAATAGACTTCAAGATCTATAAATCCTTGTTCTATTCGAGTGCACTAATTATTGTATTATAATTTTGTTGTCGATAATATTAGATTGACCAAGAAAATAGGATAAAAAATCAAATGATATGGTGTTGACATAATAAGCAAAGGTTGAATTCTAAATGAGTAAAAATAAGACAAAAACCACCATCATATTCGTGTCACTTCATTTAATTCTGTTTTTTTAGTGATACGAGCAATGCATGAAGTGCGTTGCATATAAATAATATTATTTTTATAAAAAAAATTAAATAATTAGGTGCCGAATAATTAATTTGTATTTTAATTATTAATTTATTTTATAAATTTCTAAGTTTCTAGTATTTTATTTATTGAAGTATCTCTTTGACCCCTTTAGACACTTGTACATCTAATTATATATTATAGAATTATTAATTTTTATTTTATTTAATAAATTGGTTAAATCACTTATAAAATTTATTATATTATTGTATACCAAGAAACAAAAATAGCATATATTTGACAGTATATGATTTTATTTCTTGATATAGATATAAATAATTGTATGTCATTGTACTACTAATAAAAAATTTTAAAAGAGTTTATAAGTCATTATAAAAGAGTTCAAAACAAATTAAAAGTCAAATAAGTATAAAAAAAAGATAAAAGTATACAGATGAGTATAATTGACTTTATTATAATAATTAGGAATAAAATAAGAAATCAAAAAATTTTCACAGACACTGATATTTATAAGTAATATTTATATAAATATAGATATAGATTTTTAGGTTGTCTAACCTTACCCTGGTTTCTATCAAGGGTTTGCAAAATGAGCTATTGTTGGCAAGTTTTGTCCTTTCAACAAAAATTAAGAGTCATTATAATCACGTATTTTCTGGATTTATCTAAAATGTGTACAATCACACGTAAACTATATACATTAAGATCTTAAAGATAATAACTCGCAAAACCTTCCCAATCCAAAGTAGCTTGGAAGTTGTTTAGAAAACTTTAAAAAGTAGGTCAGTTGAGTTGATCCTTTGCTGGCAGATTATGTTTGGTGAACTCTATTTCTGCTTCGGAACAAGTCTATATCCATCAACTTAGTGTTGGTTTCATAGTGTTTTAGCAAACCAGGCAACAAAGTCAGACCTAACATGCCTTTTGGTTGTTGCGTTTATCCTAACTCATTAAAAAACAAGTGAGATAGGGCTGACTTTAGCATATATTTAGCAATAAGTCTATGGTATCCACGCAAAAATAACGCCCACAGGATGAGAGCCGTGCAGATATATATATTAATTGGTTAAACTTTGTGGGTCAAATGAAATGCCTTTAGCCATTGGGGTTTGACAACGGTACCTTCAAAAAAATATTCAATACGGTGTCACTTACCGTCTTTCGAAGGATTTATACCGTTTTTTGGATACAATTTATCAACTTTTGAGTTGCACTTACTTTTTTTGAATGGGAATGATACTCACCTCCTGTTTAATCATTATTTTTTTCAAGTATTTGTAAACCTCATCATATTGCTTGGAGATATAAATATTTGTTATCACTTCAAGGAACGATTAATTTAAGCAAAGTAGGTGTTATTTCCCATGGCTAAGGTGCTGCCAACTTTACAATTCTGTGGACTCCTGGACTTTGTGTACTAAGAAGTACCCTCAATCATACATGATTAATAAAGTTATCTGCATGCATTATAAATCCAACTATTCTTGGAAACAATACGTTAATATAAAGCAAAGTTTCTCCTTTTTGTGAGTGAATTATGGGGGCC